AAATATAAAATATATGTATTAATATGGCGATTACTTTATTTTAGATGACAAATGACCAAGTTCGATGGAAAATCAATGCGTTAGTGAAAAAATACAAAGAAGTAGTAGACAATAATTCAAAATCAGGAAGGGCTCGCATGGAATTCGAGTGGTATGAGCAAATGGATGAAATTTTAGAATCCTGGGAACGTGCATGTACTGGACATACTGTTTCATCGAAAGTGATATCACCATATGCCACTTCTACTTCAACTTCTCTTGAAAATGAATCTTCGAGTGGATCTTCTTCACTTTGCACAAGTCCATCAACATTAACCTCATCAAAAAATGATTTTGTGAACTCAAATATTACTGGCTTGGGAAATCGTAAGCGTCCTTCACATGGAACAGGCTCCAAAATTGCAGCAACAAAAATCGCACTCGAAAAACAATGGCTACATCATTTACAAAAAAAAGAAGAACGTGATCGTATCAAAGATCAAAGATATGTGAATCTGTTAGAAGTTAAGAAAGAACATGCAAAGTTAAAAAAAAGACAGCTCGATTTAAAAGAAACTGAACTAGAACAGCAAAAAGAACTTGCAATAAAGAAAGCAAAAGAAAAAAACTCGTCATATGGAACTGATAGAAATCGAACAATTAAAATACAAATTGCTAAAAAAACTTGTAGAAGACAAAAATCAGAATGTTTGTGAAACCATAGATTCTGATTGAAATAATTGAAGCAGCATTAAGGTTTTATTTATTATTTTGTTTTTATGAAAAATTTATAATACCAAAAATAGTAAATTATAAGTAACAATTTTAGATAAAGTGTTTTTTTAAAAAGTATTATTTTATAAAAATGTTCTTTTACAAAAATGATATTGTAAAAAAGTAGTTTTTTGTTCCCGAGTGCTATTATCCTTTTCAAATGTTATTTTCTTTTTATAAGCATGTTATAAGCCAACAAACATAACAAGTTATAAACTAAAAATTTACATAAATAAACTAAAAGAGTGTTGTATCTTTTTTTGAGTGTTTTTGTTTTTTATTGAAGTATACTTAATATAATGCCAAAAATAACGTTTGTAAGTCAGATATGTAATAAATAAGTGTATTTGATAATTATGATAATAAAGATAATTTAATATTACATATATAAGATACAAATATTGTCAAAGATTATTTGTTCTTTGGAATTAACATTATTTAACAAGTCGGAGAATTGTATAAAATTCTCACAGTAAATTATTGTTCAGGGAACATTTCATTAAACAGCTGCATCCTACGATCTCCTTCCATACTATAATTTTGTATTTCAAGTTCTCCATTATCATTATCGAAATTATCAAACTCATTGTCAATATATTCAGAAAAATTGTAAACATTATTCTCATTGATACAATAATTATGCAATATACATGCTGCAACTACTGTGTTAGTGATGAATGACATTTCACGATATTCAGTAAAAAATTTGATTCGACGGAATCGTCCTTTTAATTGTCCAACTGCTCTTTCAACACATATTCTTGTGGATGAATGTATAAAATTGAATTCTCTTTGTTGTGGTGTAAGATGACCATTATCTTTAAAAGGTGGTACACGCCAGGGCAAAGATGGATATGCTGAGTCTCCTAATAAAAATGTATTACCAGGGAATAATTGTACACCATTGTCAACATTTGCGGCGTAGTACAATTCTGATCTTCGGAATATACGTGCATCATGAAGAGAACCAGGCTCACCGCAATGTATATTGGTAATCCGCAAATGAGCATCTACCACTATTTGTAAAGTAATAGAAAAAAAATTTTTCCGATTACAATAATCTCGTGCATACATTGCAGGTTTTTCTATCCAAATATGAGTTCCATCAATTGCTCCTAAGACATTTGAAATTCCTTGCTTAGCGCAAAAACTTTCAACTGTTGGTATTATATTTTGTCCTTGTGGCCATTTAATCACTACATCTAATTTTGTTATCAACCAAGCTACGACACAACGGAGAAAACGAAACACAGATGAAATAGAAATTCCAAATCTATCACCCATAGTTTGCAAAGGTTCCGTATTGGCAATGTACCATAAAAAAAGCAAAAGACTCAATTTTGCTGAGAATGGTTTTATTCCAAACAAATGCGATGGAATAAAATTTGATAAATGTAGCTCATCTGTAACAACAAATTTTTTTATATTTTATATATGCCTGCATTATACTCACAATAATTAATTTTGTTNATCATTATGTATGTCATATAAATTGATAGTGAATATTTATACCAATCAATTTTTGTGCAGTATTCCGATTCAATCTTAAATGTTCCTTAAATTCTTCATCTGTCTAAGAGACAATAACCAAAAAATAGTCTTCAATTCGATGTCTCTTTCGGCCAGTTGTTAAGTAATGCAGAAGAGGAAAAAGTAATAAGTCTGCACGATCTTCGTCGCTACTGTTACTGGACGAACTGACGCTATCTGTACTGCTTGATTTTTCGATTGCATTATCAGAACTTGTTTCATCAGAACTGTACAAGTTAGGACTTTCTATGAATTGATACATAATTTTTGTTTTTTTCTACAAAATATAATCATATTTATATTTTAACGTGATTGTTAATAATCAGTTATGTTTCATTTGTACTTACTTTACACATGTTAATAATCCTTTTAAATGTCTTGATCCATACATTTGCTAAGCCGAAATGGATAATGGATATGTGATTTAAAAACTCACTATTTTATAAGCAAACTCTAGCGGTCTAGTTCAGAACTAAACGCATTCCATTAACCATCTAAGCACGGTGTTTGGCCGTGTCACACAGTGTCGATCTGTGTTGTGTAAATGGAAAGCTTCCAATATTTTTTATTTCAATTTATTTTGTTGTTGCGTCAAAATCAATCCAGCTTTTGAAAAAAGCTGTCACGTCCGTAGACGTAAGCATGGTGAGCCCCGGTTGACCCGTTTAAACTTTTTCTTTTTTTTCTTTCTTTTTTTTCTTATTATCTTATTTTATTACCATTTGTTGTCAGTAGTATCTCCCATCGTCAATTGTCCGCAAAGACGTTAACCTACGGTTCGAACCACTGTGTCATCACCTAAACTTAAGAATTTACTACTCCGAGTCGCGTTTTTGTACCTACCAGATTTGCAAGTGACGTTTTCACTGTTGTTTTGCATTCATTATGTTCATATAACTGCTTTTAACGTACACTACACGTTTTGTTAGCCTACGAGTAAAATTTAGCTGTTTTACCGTGTGACGAAATTTGATTGGTCGTCTTCCTAGTAACAAGCAATCTGATTGATCAGTCATCTTATCGTGGATTCCGACTTGTCAAGTCTTTGTAAGTCATTTTCCGTAAATCTTTTCCTGAAAATCGGCGAGAAGTTGGTTAAAAACCCGTAAAGTCATCTGATTGGTCAAGACAGTTTTCTGTCAATTCTAAGTCTTTAGACTCCTACAAGTCGCAACAACTGTTGCCTTTTTCAAAATTCGTTTAGGAAGTCGGTCAAAATCAGTAGAAATATCTGATTGGCTGATTGCATGGTGACAAACAACCTGATTGGCTGAAGTGCAAAAACTTGCCGTAATAAGTGACAAAGCACGTAGCAACTACGCCGAGTTAACCATCTCTTGAAATTCGTGTTTTAAACCGTTAAGAAGGGTAAAAGAAATCTCATTGGTTAACCAGTTCACTAAAACGCGTTTAATTGGTCAATATATTTGTTGCAATTTCTGGACTCTCTGGACGACTGCAAGTAGGGTCCACTATCTCTTTCTCGAAAGTACGTTCAGGAACATGGTCAAAAGATCGAGAAACGATCTGATTGGTCAGTAGCTTTATCGCGTGTTTTAGCTTCTTAAACCCGTGTGAATACCACCCCGTAAGTCTCGGTCAAAAATCACTTCAAAAACCCGGTTAGAAATCAAAAGGTGTTCTGATTAGTCAAAAGGGTCTTCCTTAAAAACACGGCCTTTAGGTTTTGCGCTTCTTGACCGTAGCGTATAGACTTCGAATAAATGCGAGTACAATAAAATAAGCCGTAATACACAAAGTTAAGAGATATCTCATGCCGGAAACGGGTTCTACTAATAACTACCGTTCCTTTCAAGTACCAAAGGTGGTAATATTACCATTACCATTAATTTACCGTACTTAAACATTTGCCACGGTTGCTGAATTAACAATTACCAAAACCTAAGTTTCCACGTAATTTATCAACCCGCGTTAGTTATCATCATGTTTCTGTTATCGTTAGTCATAAGGTAAGTAACTCAGATCAGAACCAGGCTGCAACCCGTAAGTTGCACAATTAGTATTTCAGAAACTAAAAGAGATAAAAAAAAAACGGTTTGCACCATCGTTTTCAGTGTAAAAAACTGCAAAATACCAATGTGTTTCAAAACGTCTAACTATTGTTGTTAACAAACAATTGTTTATATAATTAGAATTATTAACTTTTTATTTCGTGGTAGTTTGCATTTAAGTAATAGAATGAAGAATTACAAAACCGTTTTTCGATAACTCTTCTGGTTCGCGAGATATTTAAATCGTGTATTTTCACTCATCGCCATAACTTACAAACCAGTAAATGAAGGGCCTCTGTAAAATTAGGTTTACTTTAGCTGTCTTAGTTCTCGAGATATCCTACATTTACAATATCAACTATGTGTCGTTAAACACAGCATGTGTTAATAAACAAAATGTTTCTATACGTCAAAAATTATCTTGATAAATTTTGGGACTTTTCGAGAACTTTTCAACGCCCCGGTGGTGGCTACTGCTGTTAGTATGGTTATTTATGTTATGAGTTAATTATTATTACCGCGTGTTTTTATTAATAAATTTTACATTATTATAATTGTTTCTATAATTTACGTTTCTATAATTTTGCCATAATAATTAAATTCTGCTTTATTATTGTAACCGCATACATATCTATTGTCTTGTATAATAGTTACACAATTAGCATTATTAGCGTTTTGTAAATTAGTTCAGTAGTCTTAAATGTACAATTAACATTTTAATAAATATTTAGGTAATTTAGGCAAAACGTTGTAAACTATTCTGTACTATTCGTGCGCGAAGTGTTCCCAAGGCAAAGTTTGCTTGTGAAGGGCCAGTGTCTTTGGCTTGGCCGGGAAAACGGCCCGAAGTTGAGATAAGGCACGCGCCGAGATAAGGGACGCGTTAGACAGCGAACCGTTGGCGGCCACGAGACCGTTGACCAGGAGCTAGTGACCGCTGGACCCGTGAGACCGTGCAGCGTCAGCGTATTTGGGACGCTATATAAACGGCCGGAGCGACTGGTCCGGACACAGAGTCTGTCTCTGAGATTCATCCTGTTCAGTTCGCTTCGCGAAAAAGTCAGTTCAGAGTAATTCTTTTCAGTCGGGACTTAGAATATTATAATGTTTTTGTGTCGGGACTTCGAATATTTCAATTGTTTTGAATCAGAACGTAGAATATTTTAATATTTTCATGTCAGAACTTAGAATATGTTAATTTTTTCCGTGTCAGAACTTAAAATATTTTAATTTTTTCCGTGTCGAAACTTAGAATATTTGACTTTTTTCAAGTAAGAACTTAGAATATTTTAAGTACTTTCAGTTAGGACTTAGAATATTTTCAATTTTTTTGTGTCGTAACTTATATTATTTTAATTTTTTCGTGTCGGGACTTGGAATATTTTAATTATTTTTTTTGGGACTTAGGATATTTTAGACATAGAAAAAGTTGTTTTTAGCGTCTAAACTTAGGATAACCTTGCGTGCGCAGATCGAATCTGACTTCGAGTTTGTTTAATGGTAAGAGTACATATCAATAATAATAATAATAATTCCCCTTTTGTACCTCGCACACGGGTGTAATATTTAGTCGATTTACATCGTTCTGATTACTGTTAGTTACACCTGCTCACCCTGCGTCGTTTCCTGTTATTCCGTTGACGAGGAAGGAGCACACGAGTGCACACTCGTTATTTCCTGTCATTCTCAAGTACGAGAAAGGTGCACATGAGTGCACACTCGTCACTTCCTGTTATTCCGTTGACGAGAAAGGTGCACACAAGTGCACACTCGTCACTTCCTGTTGTTCCGTTGACGAGGAAGGTGCACACGAGTGCACACTCGTTATTTGCTGTCATTCTCAAGAGTGCGAGGAAGGTGCACACGAGTGCACACTCGTCACCTCCTGTTGTTTCGTTGACGAGGAGGGTGTACACGAGTGCACACTTGTCATTTCCTGTCATTCCAAAGTTCGAGAACGGTGCACACAAGTGCACACACGTCACTTCCTGTTATTCCGTTGACGAGGAAGGTGCACACGAGTGGACATTAGTCACTTCCTGTCGTTCCGTTGACGAGGAAGATGCACACGAGTGCACACTCGTTATTTTCTGTCATTCTCAAGAGTGCGAGGGAGATGCACACGAGTGCACACTCGTCACTTCCTGTCGTTCCGTTGACGAGGAAGGTGCACACGAGTGCACACTCGTCACTTCCTGTCGTTCCGTTGACGAGGAAGGTGCACACGAGTGCACACTCGTCATTTCCTGTCATTCCTAAGAGTATGAGGAAGGTGCACACGAGTGCACACTCGTCACGTCCTGATCTTGGGTACTACAGTGAGAACGGTGCAATAAAGATTGCACGCTTATTCGTCGTATCTATTCCTAGGCTTCCCGTCAGCTAGAGGCCCCGTCTCCGCGACGAAGGCGGCGGACCCGACGTAAAGGCAGAGAGCACCAACTGAGGACCCTTCAAAGAGGCTACGCGCGCACCGAATCTTTTGACCTCGCGGTGCTTGACACTACCCGCGTGACTGATACGGAAGGACGAGCCGCATATTTTCACACGACAAGTACAGTGGAACGCGCCGTTAACCGGGTCCCGCGAATTATTAGTAACGAAGGGTTCACGGGGCGGATTTCGATCCTTCGATCCTCGTGGAAGTTGATCCCGATTACCCGCGGTAGAACTGTTTACCCAACTACGGTCCTCCCGACGGATCCACGGTTCCGGGTGTACATGGAAAAGCAACGCAAGGTGGTGTACCTCACTCAAAGTCATCCTCTCACAAGCATCGGTTTAGCCGGGCTCCGTCAACAAAGGTCTCGTGCAGAAAACAGTAACTAGCGTCACACATATTCCCACCTATGTGCATCGGACGGTCGGCACCACCCGGTGAACCCGGCGAGTATATCGAGTTGACGGAGGCGTTCGATTTTTGGCAGAAGTACAACCTTGGCCGATGCCGGTTGGTGGTACTGGCTTATCTTAACCTGTTAAACAACAAGATCTACTGTACGTGGTGTACCCACGAGACGGACGACGTCTTGATACCCGAGGCCGTGATAGGCTACAGTATCTCGATTAAAACCGAGCTCACGGATTTGTTGTGCGCCAGATGCTCGCAGAATTAAACGATATACTGACCGGTAAAAGAGTGCAAAAAGTGCCACTTTGCCTACATTGATTTCATCGCGGAACACACCGACGATTTTTATACGCTCTAGGACCACACGGTATACATAATTGACGGCCCTTCGATTTAATCCGGAACAGAAAACCCTACCCCAGCTTCCGGTCATATCTTCATCCTCCGCCCCGGTAAAGCTTCAGGGTTGACCAAAAAGGGAGGACGTACGTCC